AGGCACATGCCCTCGACTGGAATCGAACCTGGGACCCTTCAGTCCGCAGGCCGATGCTCTATCCACCGAGCCTCCGCCGAGCAGCCGGTTAGGGCTGTAGCTGGTTTTCTTATCTATGTGCCTTTAGTTTAACATGTAGTCATTTTTTTTTTTTTTTTTTTGCTGTGGAATAATAGCCCTCAGAGCTTAGAGGATACAAAATTAATTAAATTGCCCTGCACATAAAAGGAGGAAAAAATGAGATTCTACTAAGCTCAAGAGAGGACATAGGAGCCTGGAAATGGGAAGGAGGGGGAGCTGCACCCACTGTATGGGGGGGGGGGAAGAAAGGGCCCAACAGTGATGGGGAGTGGGGCCTTGGAGAGGGGCAATTAGGCCTTTCCCAATCATGGGAATGGCTGAGGAAATATGAAGCACAGGAAAGTCTGAGGCCCTGTGCTGTATGACTTAAATGCCCAAAGAAGTGGTAGGAAACCTTGGAAGGAAACTATTACCACCTGCTCTCAGCCTTACTGATTCTGTGTAGTTTGGGACAAGGGAAATGTGTTAGGAAGAGGATTGGTGGTGAGGATATTCTGGGTTTCTTATTTAAGCTCCAGACTTCTGAAATCTTGGATGTCCTGGGATTAGGCACTTTCATCCCCTGATACTCTGTCTTTCCTTATCTTCTGAACAGAGCTGCCTGTGATAAATCAGCTTTTCATCTTCTCCCTTAGTTGATATGTAGGATCTACATGATCTCGGGTATTTGCCTGCTGATCTATGGGTGCTGGAAACCAGTCTGGGACTCAGTTATCTAGGTTCTTCAGAGTTTATGGGTAGACGCTGAACGTCAAAAGATTCTAAGAATTTGCCCTAACCGGTTTGACTCAATGGATAGAGCGTCGGCCTGCAGACTGAAAGGTCCCAGGTTTGATTCCGGTCAAGGGCATGTACCTTGGTTGCGGGCACATCCCCAGTGCGGGGTGTGCAGGAGGCAGCTGATCGATGTTTCTCTCTCATCGATGTTTCTAACTCTCTATCCTTCTCCCCTCCTCTCTGTAAAAAGTCAATAAAATATTTTTTTTAAAAAAGATTCCAAGAATTTATAAGGGGGAGGAGGTCAAAGGTCTGGTCAAAGGGTGAAGATTGTGAGCACATTTTTCTTTTTAAAAAAAATATTATTGATGTCAGAGAGGAAGGGAGAGGGAGAGAGAGAATCATTGATTCGCTGCCTTCTGCACTCTCCACAACAGTGATTGAGCCCGCAACCCGGGCATGTGCCCTGACCAGGAATGGAACCTTGATCTCCTGGTTCATAGGTTGACTCTCAAGCACTGCCCTAAGTCGGCTAGGTTTGTCTTTTTCTCTCTCAAGTTTTCTCCCTGTTCTCTGACCCCCAGGACATAAGGTAAGGGTGGTTATAATATTGTGTTACAAAGGTGGTGGCACTGAGAGGGGACTGGGAAGTTTGGCTTTGAAAATCTTTGGAAATGCCTCTCTAATGGACTTGGACTGAGCTTTTGCCTGAGTCCCTTGCATCCAATATCTCCTAAGGTCCCGAGTCTGCATTCCTTGAAAGTTACTCCACGATCCCAAAGGCTACTTGAAATGTGCGGAATTTTAAAATGGTGGAGGTTGAAACAGAAGGTAGATATCACAGAGTGTGTTCCATGATGAAGAAATCATGTGAGAAAAGGTTCTAAAGCAAGAGAAGGCAGGGCAATCTGATAATAGTTGTTTTGCTTGGTTGGAATATATAGATAGTGGTCAGAAAAACAGCAAGAAAAAGGTTGGAAAACTAGTTAGGGCTAGATTTTTGGAAAGCCTTGAATTTAGGCAGAGGCATTTCTGGTTTCTTTTTTTCTTTTTTCGGGGCTGAGGCATGTCTTGAAAGAGTAGTCTACAGTCACTGTCATGAACACCTCACCTGCCATTCACATCTCAACCCACTTCAATCGGGAAACTGCTGCATGGCAGACTCCCAAGTAACAATGGCTTAAAGAAGACATACATGTATTTATCTCACCTAAAAGAAATCCAGAGGTAGGTAGTCTAAAGCTGGTAGTGTGGCACCAAGAAATTGTTAGAGATCCAGGTTCATTTTAGTTTACTACTCTACTATTCTTAGGGTGTGACCCTCGTCCTACTCTATTTTTTAAAAAAGATATTTTTATTGATTTCAGAGAGGATGGGAGAGGGAGAGAGAAGCATCAATGATGAGAGAGAATCATTGATCGGGTGCCTTCTGCACACCCCACGCTGTGGGATCTAGCCCCCAACCCAGGCATGTGCCCTGACAGGAAATCAAACCGTGACCTCCTGGTTCATAGGTCAATGCTCAACCACCGAGCCACGTTGGCTGGGCTTGCCCTCATCCATTTAATTCCAGAAGGCTATGTGTCCAGCTAAAAATTAGATATTCTATTACTAAGGACGGGGAGGAGAAGGGATTTGGGGGTAATCAATTAGCAACCTATGCTACAAATCCCTACTGAAATAATCCCTTCCAAAGTCACCAGAGACCAGACCACTACCTGATTAGTAAAACCCTAGACATTTTTTCAGGCCTTTTCTTGACCTGTTGGTAGCATTCAACACTACTGACCCCTCCCTCCTTTTGAAACATTCTCTCCCTTTGGTTTGGTGACACGGCTTTCTCCAGCCTTTCTCCCTTTCTCCGTGGTCGCTACTTATCCATCTCTCTCACAGGCTCCTTTCCCTCCACCTATAGTGTAGCTGCTGCTGGTCTCTAGCGCTCTTCCCTGGGCCCCCTCTAAGGCTACACATTCTTCCCAGGTACTCTTGCCCTTCCCCATAGATTAAAGGACCATTCATATATTGATGACTCCTAGTTCTATAACCTCAGCCAAAACTCTTTACTGAACTTCAGACATGTATATTCAACTGCCTGTGGGGCATTGCCACTCAGATGTCCCACGGATACCTCAAAATCAATGCTTAGTTCCCCCTACATTCATATTCCATATATCAGTGAAAGGGGTTACCATCCACACATTTGATCTCTCAAGTCAGATCTCCAAGAGTTCCCTTTGACACCTTCCTCACCCCTTTCTCCACATCTAATTATTCATAAAGTCTTGTTGCTTTTTTCATTTTTAAGATTTTCTGAATTCAATCACTTCTCACCACCTCTACTGCTACCACTCTAGGTCAAACCACAATCATTGTTTATCTGGATGACTACTGTCCCTCTTTCCAGGAAGTCATCTAATCCATGCTCCTTATGGGTTAGGCAGCAAGGGTGTTCTCTCTAAAACTTAAGTCTATGCCATATCCAAGCCTAGAGCCCTTCAATAATCTCTCAGTGCTCTCAGGATCAAGACCAAAGACTTTATCTTAGCATTTAAGGCTTGCCATGATTTGGAAGAGATGAATCCTTATACAGAACAAAATTTGGAATGATCGAACACTTAAATGTAAAGAATAAAGCCATAAAAGTGCTTGGAATAAAACAGTGGGGAATAGGGAGCAGGAAAGCACCGCTAAGCATGAAAGAGACTCCAGTTGTGATAAAGGAAAACCTGATACATTTCACTGCATAATAATTAAACCCTTTTGTATAGCAAAGACAATCATAAATAACATGACAAATATTTGTAATATATGTGACACACAAACGTATGAGAGATGTCATTTGGTGGGGATGCTATTCCATGTACCTTTTGAGAATAAGTTGACAAATTTTGTATCAAAATGGAAGACTTTTTTGTGGCATTTGAGTCAGCCAAAAAAATATCATAAATAACAACAACAACAAAAGTCCAATACAAATACAAGGATGCTCCTTGTAGCATGTAATAGTAAAAAAAAAAAAGGAGGGGAGCAATATAAATGTTCATGTATCCTGGACTGGTTAAATAACTTATGGGACATCTATAGAAGATAAATTTATGCAGCTGTCAAAAAATGTGCAATGTGGAAAATCGACTAGAATATATAACTGGAAAAAATACAGGTCTCAGGACAGTAGGTATAGTGTACCCTTTGTGGGCAGAAAACCCAAATTAACGTATGCAACAGAAAAAAATCTGGAAGAATGTATATCAAAATGTGAGTAGTGGTTATTTCTGGGAGATGAGATAAGCGTAGCCTTTCGTTGGTATGTTAAATATTTCTGCATTATTTGAATTTTCACAACAACACATTACCTTTGTAATAAGAAAGAATAAAGATATAAAAATAAATACATTCAATGAATGAATTGCTTTGAGGGAGTGGTTTTGGTTGGAAGGGCTTCAGACCGAGCCTGGTACAGTGGCATAAACACGAGCTTTGGCGTCAGACAACCCTGAGCGGGGCCTCATTGCCCCACCCCCGAGGAAGGAGAAGGGGGGTGGCAGGGGGCTGCGGAAAGGGGCTGGGCTGGGCTGGGCTGGCTGCTGCTGTAGTCCAGGAGGCTGAGACTTCGAGAGGGACTCAGAGAGGGCAGACGCATCCCGGACTCACTCGAGGACAAGGTGAGGGACGCTGAGATTGGGGTTTCCTGGCCAGCCACACGGTGGTTCCAGCTCCCTCGAACCTGTAGCCAGGCAGGTGGGCAATTATGACTGCATCCCTGCAGCTGTGCGAGGAGTGACCTGGCGTGGCATGTAGGCAACCAGGAGAACTTAGAGAATAGTAGGCTGCACGGACTGGGGAGCAGAGACTAGCGGAGAAGGGAGAGAAAAACGGAGAGCCGGGCATGTTGGATGGCGGACAGGGAATATGAAGGGGAATAACTGAGGGGAAGTGCAAATCCAGAGAAGAAAATATGGGATGCAGAGAAGGGTTAAGGAATACGGGGGAAAGGAGTGCAGAGGTAACACGGAGGGGGATGTAAGAAGGGGAATAAAGAGTTCCATGGGGGTCAATAGGGAATGCGTTGGGGAATAGGGAGCAGGAAGCAAGGCAGAGGGAATACGGAGGGGGGTTTAAGGAATGAAGAGCAGGGAGTGGGGGAAGGGCAGACTGGTTGAGACCGAGGCCCCCTAGGGAGGCGGAAAGGGGCGGGACCACTTCCGGCCGGGAGGGGGGAGGGCAGTCTCCGAGTTTCGGAGGGGCTCGGAGAGAGTGGACGCACTCTGGAATTGTAGGAGGACGAGGTGAGTAGCAGCGGGGCCCTGCTCTGGATCGGAGTCCGGTAGGGGTCAGCCCCACCCTCTGGGGAATCTTGAGAAAACCTGCCCTAAGGACCGGATCGCTCTGGATCCATCCGGCTGGGAAGGGAGGGGATTGGACCCGGTTTGGCTGTGCCCGAGACAGAATCACTAGCTCGATACTGATTTGAGGAGGGGGTGTTTCAGGGAAGGGGCAGAACCGAGATGTGCTTGGCCTGTTTGGAGGGGGGCGTGTTATGAAAAAGGGCGGGACCAGGCGGTACTGTGTACTCGGGCTGCGTGTGAGTCGGGGAGGAGCCGGGACCACCGGACAGTGTGACAATTTGAAAAAGGAGGCTCGCGGGGGAGGGGGCGGGACCTACTGCTCCTGCGGACCTGGAGGGAGGCGTGTGCTGGGAAAGGGTACCGGACTGAGTCCTCGACTATTGCGCATGCGTACTACGGATCGTTAGAAAGGGGCGTGCAGAGAAGGGCCCGCACCGAGCCGGCCAGCTGCCCAATGCGCATGCGCACGATGGACATCAAAGAGAGGGCTTGTGCTGGGAAAGCGGGCGGGGCTGAGATGGGGCTTGCAGCGGACGCGCATGCGCACTGTCGACCTGCGGCTGGGGGGGTGGGTGCACTGGGAAAAGGGGCGGGGGCCTCAGAGCTGCCGCGCTGGCACATCTTCCTGGAAAAGGGGAGGGTGCGGCTGCAGAGAATTGAGACCTCGACGCTGTGGATTACAGAATCTGAAAACAGAGTCGTTGGGGGTGGGGGAGGGGTTTGGGATAGGGGCCCTAGGGAAGGTGAGGATTAGCCTCCCAGCAGGACAGCAGTGAGGACGTTCAGTGGATTCTCCCCTTGACCCAGGCCTTCTCTCTTTCAGGCTCAGCTCTTGCCAGGCCAACTTGAGACATGTCTGACACAAGCGAGACTGGTACGGGTCCAACCCGCTCCCAGGTGAGACCTCCTCCTGTCCTCCCCCTGTCTGCTTTTCCCCTTCAGCCCCTGTTGCAGCCTCAAATCCCTTGGTACCTCCCCTTCTATCCTTGTCCTTCTCTACCCACTTCCCTGCCTGGGTGTCCCCCACCCCAGTAGAGGGAGTGAGGAAGGATGGGAAGGAAGAAGGAAGGATGGATGGAGGAAGGAAGGAAGAAGAGAAGACAGGTGCATCCCTCTTCCGCCATCAGTTCCTGCTCAGAGGAAGGGGGTGCCTTGTTGGGCTGAGGCACTCAGAGCATGCTGCAAGTAGGGGTTCGTATAGGTCAGAGAAATGAAGGCCTGGGGTTTGGGAGCGATGTGCCTGGTTGTGGGTGGGGAGAAGTCCCGTGAGCTTCCCTGCTTTCTCTTGCAGGCTGAAACTTCAGAAAAGGAAAGCGACTTGAAGGAGCAGACCGAATTGACAGTGACCCAGAACTCGGAGGTCTCAGAGACACCAAAGGCTTCAGAGGCACCAGAGGTCTCTGAGGCCGAGAATGTCTCAGAAGCTGCAGGGGTCTCAAAGGCCGCAGAGGTCTCAAAGACCCCAGAAGCTCCTGAGGCAGCTGACACTAAGGAGTCATCTACCACTAAGCTGACTGATACCCAGAGTTTGGCAGCTGAAAAGAAGAGTCCAGCAGCTGACACCAAGGTGCAGAAGGCTGACCCTCAGGCTGTGACAGCTCCTGCCACTGAGACCAAAAAGGTCAGCGGTGTGGATGATACTAAGGTCAATACAAAGGCCCAGGAGACTGAGGCTGATGCCTCTCAGGCTCCGAAGGCAGATGAACCTGAGCCTGAGGGCACAGTAGCCCAGGCTCAGGAGAATCAGGATACTCGGCCCAAGGTCAAGGCCAAGAAAGCCCGAAAGGTAAGACTTCTGCAATAACTGTCCTTGCCTTTCAATTCCTCTTCTCTAAGTTGGTTCATTTGTTCTGCAAACATATAGAAAGTTTCCTGTGCTCATCAAGGCTGTGGGGAATGTGATGCAATTCCCATCTTTAGAGAGCTCACAGATTTGGGGGAAGATGAGACAGGAATACACAACTGTAATCTGAATGTAATGCAGTTTATGTTGACATAGTAGCTACCATGTGTTAGGCTTTGAGCTAGCACATTTACACAGCTTATCTCTTAAATCCCAAAAGTAATCCAGTTTTATAGAGAAGGAAGTGGACTCCCAGACAGATAGAATGAAGCTGTCCAGGTTGGTAGGAGCAGAGCCAGTGAGTGGTAGATGGAGGAAGAGGAGAAGCTTCAGATTCCACCCTTGGGTGGTTCCTGGTCTGATTCAGTGATGAAACTCTTGCTTGAAAGCCAGTGAAAGACAAACCCAAGATTCAACATGGCCAATGTCTAGTGAGTCAGGTCGTTACTACAGGGGTTGGATGAAAGGGGGTTTCTGGAAGAGAGAGAATGAGGAAAAAGGACCATCTGCTTCATCTGGTGCCGTTGTGCTTCCTCTCTGTTGATGCAGGTGAAGCATCTGAATGGGGAAGAGGAGGGCAGCAGTGATCAGAGTCAGGCTTCTGGAACCACAGGTGGCCGAAGGGTCTCAAAGGCCCTAATGGCCTCCATGGCCCGCAGGGCTTCAAGGGGCCCCATAGCCTTTTGGGCCCGCAGGGCATCAAGGACTCGCTTGGCTGCTTGGGCCCGGAGAGCTTTGCTCTCCCTGAGGTCGCCTAAGGCCCGTAGGGGCAAGGCTCGCCGCAGAGCTGCCAAGCTCCAGGCATCCGAAGAGCCTGAAGCACCACCATCTCGGGATGTGGCCCTTTTGCAAGGGAGGGTAAGAACGCTGTCCTTTGCACTCAGCCTTAGCCACCGCCTTGCCTGCCTTCTTCTCTGCTAACCTTTCAAGCCTTCTGCAAATGTTTTTTGACCTTTATACCTTTTTCTCCTCTCCTAGGCAAACGAGTTGGTGAAGTACCTGTTGGCTAAAGACCAGACAAAGATTCCTATCAAGCGCGCAGGTAGAGTCCTACTAACTCCCTCCCCCTAGTTCTACCCTCCACCCTCTCTGTGCTGAGGACATCCCTTGCTCTTCTGTTCCTACTTCTGTCCTCCCACCGTTCTAATTTGGCAGTGCTAGCATCTCTGTTCATTAGCTCAAAACCTGTTTATGTCACCAACAGCAGAGTAGGCAAAGGGTCTATAGTTTGGGTATGGGGGCCGCCTGGCTTCACTTCAGCTCAGGTGCTCGCAACACTCTCCCCTTGCAGACATGCTGAAGGACATCATCAAAGAATACACTGATGTGTACCCTGAAATCATTGAACGAGCAGGCTATTCCTTGGAGAAGGTGAAGGGGCAGCCCTGGGGGATGGACACAGTGGGGAAGCCTTGAAATAAACAAAGGTGTACATGTCCCTTCGGGGAGGGACCACAGAGACTCACTAAGCCCAGTCCCACCACTGGGCAGACAGTGACCTAGGGAGGTACATAGACTTGCCGAAAGTCACACAAGTCAGTGGTAAAAGCACAGCTAGGACTCAACTTAGTCCTGACTTCTGCTGCTGGACATGTCCTGGAATGTATTCCAGATGCTCACCTCTTCCTTTTCATTCACATTCACAGTCTCCCTAGATTCCTATTAATCACAAGGATGATGTAGATAACAATAGCACATTTGTTGCCTGTTTGCTGTGTGCTGGCCTCATAGCTAAGTGCTTACATGCATTAACTCACCGGTCTTACACACACACACACGCACACACACACACACACACGCGCACACACGCACACACACACGCACGCACCCTAGGTACATGGGGAGCTGTGAGATGCTCAAGAAGCTGAATTTGATGATCTCACAAGCTTTGCTCCCCATCCACAGGTATTTGGGATCCAATTGAAGGAAATTGATAAGAATGACCACTTGTACATTCTTCTCAGCACCTTGGAACCCACTGATGCAGGCATACTGGGAACGTAAGCTGGGAAAGGGCTGGGTGGGAGGGAGGCTTCTGCTTTTGTCCATGGCACTACCCCATCCCTGTATTCTGTCCCACACTTCCTTAGAGAGTCAGAAAAGACAGGCCTGAAAGCCCGTTCCAGCCCCCGCATGTAGCTGGAACCCTGCCCACAAAAGTTGTGCCTGGTTACGATGGACTGAAGGGTGTCGAAGCCTGGGTGGGGCAGTCCTACTGTCAGGTTGTCTGTCTGTCCAGAAGCTTCCCAGGAAGGCAGCCCTGTCACTGCTTGTCTCTTCCTGCTGGTCTTGATAGAGTGGTTCTCACGGGAGGCCTTCCTGGTGTGGGTGGATCACGATGCTCGAAGGGCAGGAGCATCGGTGGCTGTGAATCCTCTGGTGGCTGAGGGGCCTGTGAGAGGAAGAAGGGCCTCGCATTGGCGGAGTGCCAGGGTCTAACTCTGTTGGGGGGATTTCTTCTGTCCTCTCAGCAGCCCGGGGAGGGGAGGATGTGATTTCCTGTTTCACTGGACAGGAGACTGAGGCTCAGGGGTCTAAGTGTCTTGCCCAGGGTCACGTGGAGCTTGAAGCATAGACTGGGCAGAACTCTCCCATACCTGAGGAATCTGGGAGAGGCTAGCCTAGTGAGCTGGCTGGTGTGTTTTTTGCAGATGGCTGCAGGACCTAAACCTCTCTGTCCTATTGTTCCCCTAGAACCAAGGACTCCCCCAAGCTGGCCTTTGGCAAGAGAGGATGGTCCCAGGATCGCATCAGCCTGGTGGTCTGATGGAGCGGGCGGGGGTGTTGGACTGGGTTAGAGGGCCCATGACTCTGACCTGGGTGGATGGGGAAATGGTCCTGAACTCTGTTCCCTTGAGCTTACTGCCTCTTGAATTTCTATGGTGCTTCCTTGTGCCAGAAATCTCTCTTCCACGTTGGAAACACCTCTGCACACATCTGGGAAGTGCTATGGCCCCGTTTTATTTATTGTTTCATTCATTCATTTTATCTATTTATCTTTCTTTGCTGTCAGTATACATCACTCACTTTTTGGGGACGTGAAGAAGCTCATTACCGATGAGTTTGTGAAGCAGAAGTAAGTGTCCATCTGCTGTTGGTGTGTGCCATACATTTTGCCTATTTTAGAACTGGGTGATAGAGCTACGATGGGTGCACGTGTGCTTGTGTGTGTGTGTATGTGCTGGTGGGAGCTTGTTTTTAAGGAGATAGAGGCAACAAGAGCACATATTCCTTGACCCATTACATGTACTCTCACATATGCCCCAGAGCAGTTCTATAAGGGAGGGATTGTCATCACTGGCTTTGCATACAGGAGGAAACTGAGGCTCAGAGTGTTGAAATCATTTGCTTATGGTTACACAGGTAGCAAATTGAAGATTTTAAGATTCAGGTCCCAATGCGTTGGTTCTTTTTACCATGCCAACCAGGGCTTCGTAGCAATTAATTTCAATTTTAAAATAGTATAATTTCAATCATAAAATAGGAGCTGTAGGCAGCTAGCTACTGCGCTGGGGACTTGACATGTACCATCTCATTTCATTTTCATAACTACCCTGCAGAGTAGGTGCTGTCATCCCAGCTCCATTTTCAGTTGCTAAACCTGGGGCTCAGAGACAGAAGTCTGAGCATGGCCCCAGCCGGTAACGGGCCCATTCAGGCCTGGAGCCCAGCCCTCCTGACTTTCTGGCCAGGGGCCCACCTTATCCTCATCCTGGGGAAACAAATGCGCACTCACAAGGTTGCACTAGCACACATGCACACACAATCGGAAGTGTGTACGGAGTACGCTGCTCTTGGTGGACTGTTTTCTCTTTACAGCCCTTTTCTGTGGTGCACTGTCCCAGGCCACAGATGAGACGCCGCAGCGGGGTGTGCTCAGAGCAGGTTGCCTGAAGAAATGGCTCCTCTGTTTACAACACACCCAATAGGAACCGGGGTCACTGTGACAAGGGGCACAAAATGTGTGGCCTTCCTGTGCACAAGCACCCTACATGTTTCCCCCCTGTGCCTTCACATGGCTGCTGGGCAGGAGGGATGGAACAGGGCTCAATGTTGGAAGAAAAGCTGCAGTATTTAGTGGGGAATGTGCTACCTAGAGCCTGCCCAGCCCATGCATGGGTGGGCCATGGGTGGTCTTAGACGTAAAGGCTTCGAACCTATCTTTTCAAGGTACCTGGACTATGCCCGAGTCCCTAACAGCAATCCCCCTGAGTATGAGTTCTTCTGGGGCCTGCGCTCCTACCATGAGACCAGCAAGATGAAAGTCCTCAAGTTTGCCTGCAAGGTAATTGGAGAACTACCCAAACTTGGCATATCAAGAGCATGGGTAGGCTGTGGGCAGAGCACCCTGCAGCTTATATATGAATATTCTGAAGCCTCTCTTAGTGCACCAAACACTTTAGCTGAATCATTTAATCCTTATGACTAACATGGTGGTGTCCTCCTGCAGATGAGAAAACTCGGGATCGCTGAGGTCACAGAGCTAATGTCAGGGCAGAGATGGGATACTAGTTGCATAATTACTAGAAGTATTTATTGTATTGCTACTGTATACAGCATGTAGCATGTTGTCTAGAATCTAGTAGGTACTCCACTCTCAGATTCCGGTCCTTTTGAGGGTTGTTATTTCTGTTTCAGGTACAAAAGAAGGATCCCAAGGAATGGGCAGCTCAGTACCGAGAGGCGATGGAAGCAGATATTAAGGCTGCAGCTGAGGCTGCAGCTGAAGCCAAGGCTAGAGCTGAGATTAGAGCTCGTATGGGCATTGGGCTTGGCTCTGAGAATGCTGCTGGGCCCTGCAACTGGGACGAAGCTGATATTGGACCCTGGGCCAAAGCCCGGATCCAGGCGGGAGCTGAAGCTAAAGCCAAAGCCCAAGAGAGTGGTGGTGCCAGCACTGGTGCCAGTGCCGGTGCCAGTGCTGGTGCCAGCGCTAGCGCCGGCGCCAGTGCCAGCGCCAGTGGCAGCTTCGGTGCCAGTGCCAGCCTGCCCACCACTCTCACGTTTGGGCTCTTCTCTGGCCTCAGTGGAACTGGTGCCAACAGCAGTGGTAGCTCTGGTGCCTGTGGTTTTTCCTACAAGTGAGATTTCAGGTATATGTTTAGATTCAGTGAGGGCAGCCAGGGCTCTTGGGGATGGGATGAGCTGGGTGGTTATAGGAAGGCCAAGGTCGGAGGACCATACAGAGAGTGTGGAAAAATACTGCTTTTGACATTGTATTCCTGTTTGGTGGCTATCAGTTGACTTTCTAATTTTCTTTTACTTGTGATTTCAGATATTGCTAATCCCAGCAGCTCTTTCTCTTCATGCCAGGGTGCGTCCTCAGACATGTACTCAACACAGCACTCTAGGCAGCCACTATCAATCAATTGAATTTGACACACTATATTAAATCTATTTGCCATTTCTGAGTTTATTGCCTTTTTTGTGGGGATGGGCTGTAACATTTTGGTACTACATTTAAAAATGAATTGGAAAAGTTTCCACCTCAATCTGTGCTTAGTTTGAGGTGACATTGTTAGATTCAAGGGAGTGAGATTAGCATGCCACTCTGGGATGGGTTGGGCCTCATCTCTAGTTTAGAGGGCAGGCAGGATTGTGGTTGGGTGCAGAGTCATGGGGATTGTAGGCACAGAAAACACACTTTGAAGAAGAGCGCTGAAATGGGTAAGTCTGGAGCAGAGAGCAGAGATAGAGGAGACGACATCAAGTATAGACTCTCCTTTTGAGAAATTTAAAGGAGACAGGAAGGAGACAGAGGTAGGTAGCTAAAGGAAGATACAAGAACAAATGAGGATTTTCTTGGGAAAGAAGGGAGAGAGGCTTGAACAGGTAGGAGCCAATAGAGGGAGATGTTGAAGACTGATTCATGCCCAGTCCCTGAGGAGATGGGAGGGTAACGCCTGGGAGAAGACTATCAAACAATGAGATGGTTATAGTTAAGACAGAGCAGCCCTGACCAGGAATTCGATTGGTTAAAGCGTCCTGATATGCCAAGGTTATGGGTTTAATCCTCCGTCAGGGCACATACAAGAATCAACCAATCACCCAGCTGGTGTGGCTCAGTGGTTGAGCAGTGACATGAACCAGGAGGTCATGGTTCTATTCTTGGTCAGGGCACATGCCTGGATTGTGGGCTCCATCCCCAGTCTGGGGTGTGTGGGAGGCAGCTGATCAATGATTCTCATCATTGATGTTTCTATCTCTCCCTCTCCCTTCTCTGAAATCAATAATAAAAATATATTTTTTTAAAAAGAATCAACCAATGAATACATACATAAGGGGAACAAATCGACATTTCCCTCTCTCTAAAAAAAATCAATAAAAAAAGGAAGACAGAGCAGAGAGAGCTCTGGGTAATGCTAACATTTAAGGAGTGGGTGGTTAAAGGGGAGAAAAGATGTTGGTTCCTGGAGATGGGGTCATTGGCTTGGGAGGCCAGGGTGTTGGTTGGGTTATCTGTGGACAATGAAATCACTGGGTTGGTGGCAGGAGTTGGGGTAGAAAGCACTATGAGCCAGGTGCCGAATTCTCCTTGCGTAGTTAAAGGTATACTCCCAGCTACACTTCCAACTAAGGCACAAGGTCCTTGGGCAGAGATCTACCTTTGCCCTGTTTTAAGGGAGTATTTCTTTGGACTTTTCTCTCCAGGAAGCCCTCACCATCTAAATGTCAGATTACCAGGCCCCTAGTCACTGGGACAGCCTTATGGACAATGTGATCCCAGCAATGGCTGCCTTTCCTTTCATGTAGACCAGCGGTTATCAACCTGTGGGTCGCGACCCCTTTGGGGGTCGAACAACCCTTTTACAGGGGTCGCCTAAGACCATCGGAAAACACATCTATAATTACATATTGTTTTGTGATTAATCACTATGCTTTCATTATGTTCAATGTGTAACAATGAAAATACATCCTGCATATCAGATATTTACATGACAATTCATCACAGTAGCAACATTACAGTTATGGAGTAGCAACAACAATAATTTTATGGTTGGGGGTCACCACAACAGGAGGAACTGTATGAAAGGGTCGCGGCATTAGGAAGGTTGAGAACCACTGATGTAGAGTCTATAAACAGGAATGGAGCAATGTTTGTTGCATAGGGAAAACAAAACAAGGCTCCATCCAGATCAAGGTAGCTCTTTGCCTGTGGCCATAAATTGAGACCTGTTCTTCACTGGAAGCAGAGGTTATTTCATTAATTCCATGGGCCATATATCCTCAGGGGCTGGGTGGTACCTGGGAGATATGAACAAGGTCAGAGGCAGCTTAAGCCTAGGGAGGACTTGAGTGGGTGGGTACCATGTCCAGGGCTCCTTCAGGTTCCCAGGTGATGTCCATCTGAAAATGGAATAGATAGGGAATGTTGGGGTGATAGCAATGAACTTGGGGGCTAATTCTAATAAAAATTGAGTTCAAAGTGTTTGATAGAGATAAGAGTGAGTCATAGTCATGAAGAACTCTTCCTTTTCTACTTATCTTCCCTCCACACACACTATTGGGCTCACAGGGCTCCCTACCTCTTCTCTCTTTTTACAAGGCCTGGAATTTGACAGTCAAGGAGTTGGCTTTTCCTCACTCCCCAAGTGTAAGGACTGAGGGTATGTGGGACAGGGAGGAAGAGATCAAGTCTGGTTATAGCCAAGTGGCGAGTGTCCAGAGCCAGGAAGAGGAAGTGGCAAGGGAAATGGGTACATGTCCCAGATGATGACTTGCCATCTTTATCATCTTGTAGGCCAGGATTGTAATGAATGAACTCTCACAATTTTCAGTCTTTCCTTCAATATATCATTAATTAATATCCAAATAATTCTAAATGGTATTATGTATCTTGGCTAGGCATGGGAAGAGCTCCTAGAGCAGTATCTCCACTGCTGCCTGGCAGCAGGCAACCAGAGAGAGGGAGGCCCTGACCGGCAGCCAGCAGCTGCTAGGGACCCTACCCGTGCACGAATTTTGTGACTAGGCCTCTAGTAATGACTAAAATGTTTAAGTTTAAAAATTTAGTTTCGTTTAAAACTTTTTAAAGCTGATAAAAGTTAACTATTTGCTGAGCAACTTTAAATGTAATTTATATACATTGTAAAGTATGAAATTACTTATGATTTTTATATAACTATGATGCAATTTATCTAACTATGAATGATATTAGCAGTGTAATCAAATTTTTAAAAGAATTTTAGAGCTTATTTTTCCAGGAAAAGTAAGACAATTGACAATTTAAATTACTTTCTTTTAAAAAAAATATGTTTTTATTGATTTCAGAGAAGAAGGGAGAGGAGAAAGAGATAGAAACATAAGTGATGAGAGAAAACCATTGATTGGCTGCTTTCTGCATGGCCCCCACTGGGGATCAAGCCCACAACCCAGGCATGTGCCCTGACCAGGAATCGAACACTGGGTGACCTCCTGGTTCATAGGTTGATGCTCAACCACTGAGCAACACCAGCTGGGTTAAATGACTTTCATAAAAAACATTTTTAGTGAACTTTTAAGTGTTGCTTAATATGACAAAATAACTTTTAACTAGATTCTAGATATTTATGTATTGTCAACATTTTTTCTTTTCAGTACTTGAAAATTAATGATTAATTGACTTTTGTAGAATTAAATATAAGCCATTTTTATTTACTTCAAAAAACATAAATAACACAAAGGCGCTGAGGATCAAGCAGATGATGTTTTAGAGTTGTACACTTGAAACCTGTGCCCCAATAAATTCAATTAAGAAAAGAGACAGTTAAAGGCATCGAGTAAGTGCACACAGGCCACTATTCACGATATGACTGGAATGATGAAGGATGGATGGATTAAAAGTCCTCCAATCACAGCCATCTATTCCCCATGGTTTTTAGCTCTGATCTGGCTCATGTTTTCTGTACATTGCATGACTTCAGCATCACTGCTGCTTATGTTATACCCAAGAAAATCCAGTAAGACAAGTTAGATACTAAGGAATAAGATACTGTCAGCTGGGGTTGAGATTTAGCTGGCCACAACTATCATAATAGTTGATTTTTTTATTCCTCTCTCCACAGAACCAATTCTCACCCTCTTAGCAGTGATTTATCCACCATTCATTGCCCTTCACCTCCATGTTGCAAATGCAAGCATTATAGTAACATCTCACCTGGACTGAATAAAAGAAGACAGAATGAATGCTGGAGAAAGGGGGTGGTAAGGGAAGGGGATAAAATAAGAAATACCGCCCAGCCAGTGTGGTTCAGTGGTTGAGCGTCAACGTATGAACCAGGAGGTCACAGTTCGATTCCTGATCAAATCATATGCCCGGGTTATGGGCTTGATTCCTAGTGTGGAGCATGCAGGAGACAGCCAATCAATGATTCTCTCTCATCATTGAAATTTCTATCTCTCCATCTCCCTTCCTCTCTGATATCAATAAAAATTCTATTTTAAAAAAGAAAAAAGAGAGAAATGCCTACTAGAGATCAATCATTTGTGAGAAAAAAATGGATAAAAAACTTTTGCCCATACCTACACTTTAAAAAATATGTGGGTCCACAGATGCCTTCATAGGAGAATTTTACTAAACATTCAAAGAAGAATTAATACTTTTCTTTCTCAAACTATTCCAAAAAATTCAAGAGGAGTGAAGGCTCACAAGCTCATTTTACAAGGAGAGTATTATTCTGGTTCCCAAACCAGACAAAGACATTACAAAAGATAGAAAATATCCCTGATGAACATAGATTCAAAAATTCTCAACAAAATATTTGCAAATAGAATTTAGTGATACACTGAAAGGATCACACAACATTATCAAGTGGGATTTATTCCTGGGATGTAAGGTTGTTTCAATATCTGCAAATCGATTAATGTGATAAACAACATAAACAAAATGAAAAGTAAAATTCACATGACTATAGCAATAAATGCCAAAAGAGCATTTGATAAAATCCAACATCCACTTATAATTAAAACTCTTAGCAAAGTGGAAATAGAGAGAACATATGTCAATATGATAAAGGCTACTAGTATGTATGACAAATCCACAGCAAACATTGTACTCAATAGGAAAAGCTACAAATATTTCCCTTAAGATCAGGAATAACACAGGGCTGCCCATTTCACCACTTTTATTCAACACTGGAGGCCTGGTGCATGAAATTCATGCATGAGGGGGGGTCCCCTCAGCCTAGCCTCCATCCTCTCCAATCCTGGACCCCTTGGAGGATGTCGGACATCCCTCTCACAATCCAGCAGTCGGATGTCCCTTTCACAATGCTGGACCACTGGCTCCTAATTGCTCACTGGAAGTGAAATGATTTGTAATGGATTATTAATGAGGGATCTATTATTGAAGCTACCTTTGGAAATACTATATCTATAGATCAGTGGTTCTCAACCTTGGCTGCACATTAGAATCACCTGGGAATCTCTTTAA